GGCCAGGGGGCCGGGGAGACTTGTCCATGGATAACGTTCTTGGTCTGGCCCCTATTGCTCGCCTCTCCTTCCTGGTGGCCTCTGGGCCTCTGGGCCTCAGCCCTTGTGGAAGGAATGTAGGTCAGGCCCAGCAGCGGGGCTCCTGCGTGGGGTCCTGTCTGCCTGAGAGGGTGCAGGAAGCTGGTGGAAGTGCTGACTCAGGGTGGGGACCTTCCTAGGGTCCTGGAGACCAGCCCAGCACAGCAGAAGTCAGCGTGGGCCACCCCGGGGCACGGTGGCCTCTGGGCCTCTGGGCCTCAGCCCTTGTGGAAGGAATGTAGGTCAGGCCCAGCAGCGGGGCTCCTGCGTGGGGTCCTGTCTGCCTGAGAGGGTGCAGGAAGCTGGTGGAAGTGCTGACTCAGGGTGGGGACCTTCCTAGGGTCCTGGAGACCAGCCCAGCACAGCAGAAGTCAGCGTGGGCCACCCCGGGGCACAGGGGCTGGGGTGTGTGGACCCCACGTGGGCAACTATGAGGCCCCAGTCCCTGACCTGCGGTGTGGAAAACACACCATCCCCAGAAGGGACTGCAGCGTGGCCATCCCCAGTGGGGTTGCTTTCTCTCCTCCTGTCTTTCTCTCTCTGTCTCTCCTGAGCGCACATGCACTGTCTAGCAAATTACTATTATTTTTAGGTTTTTGCCATGGGGCTCATGCACTCACTGGAGAGACAGAGAGCAGCCCCAGGCAGATGGCCACACTGCAGCCCTTCTCTCGGGATTGTGGGCATGCATTGGCCCGGCATGATTTTCAAACTGCGGTCGGCCACGTGGGCTTAGCCACTGTGCCAACTGTCGCCTGCTAGCAAGTGTTCTTACAGTGTCGGGTGAAGGGAGCGGCCCTCCACGGGGCTGGTGGGACGGCTGAGCCTTGAACACACCATGACCGGGGAGCTCACCACACAGGCCACACAGAGTGGGATGCACTCTGTGGGCGGCCACAGAGGCAGGGAGGGACTCCGGTGCAGGGCTGGGGAAGGGGCTTCCTTCCGGGTGATGGAATGTTCTGGAACCAGGAGAACGGTTGACAAGTCCGAGAATGAAGTAAAAGCCATGGACCGTAACTAGTCAGTGTCATTCGACATGTGACCTGGGTCTCGGTGGAGTTTTGGAAAGCCCAGAGCGGATGGGGAAGGGTGTCGCAGCCGTGACCATGAGGGGACTGCAGGGACACTGCTCAGCGGCACTGGCAGGGCATGTGGGCCCTCACCACCCTGGGCAGGGCCACGTCCTCTGCCTCGGGAGCTGTGAGGCTGGAGGGCACCCTGGCTCACGGGAGGAGGCAGGGTCAGAGCCGGGCAGACACCACCTGCCCTCAGCCCGAGCCTGCTCCTGAACCCTCACTCCACTCTCCTGCCGGGAAGCGGGTGGGGGGGGGGCTGTCATCACTACCCTCGGGGTCCTGGCACAGTGGCACCACCTCTGACCACCACCCCCTCACAGCCTCGCGGCCCTCCGCAGCCAGGGCAGCTGAGGCCTGAGCCCGGCAGCCCAGCAGCCATCTGGAAAGCTCACCTGGTGACCTGCGTGCGGGTGTTAAAGTCCAGGGACCGCATGGAACAGACGACTTCGATGCAGCCCATGTACTGCAGGAGAGAGCGCAGTCAGCACGGGGCCCAGAGCCGCAGCAGAGCATGCCTCCCGCCGGCCTCTCACCCCTTCCTGCCGCCCAGCAGCCTGTCTTCGTCCCAATGCGCCCACTGTCCCCTGGCTGTCCCTCCCGCCTGCAGACCCCCACTCCAGCCTAGCTCTTTCCGGCTTCTCAGGCCTGGCCGCCTCTGCCCGGGCTCCACCACGTCTGCTGTCTGGCCCTGCCTATACCTTCGCGTCCCACTGGAAGGACAGGGACACGCGATCGTTTGCTCCCTTCCCCCTCACCCAGCACAGGGGCCCGCAGATAGTCGGGGTGACCATGGCCCGGAAGGTAACCCTCACCGTCGGGGAGCAGGGCAGGGCCTGGATGCGGAGACCCCAGCGTTCTGGGCGCAGGGGAGCATGCAGTGGGGGGCGATGCCGCGGCCCCTCCCAGCCTGCTGTCTTGCTGGGGAGTCAGCACAGCCTGAGCGGCTGCATTCGGGTCAGGCAAACCCGTGGTCAGGGGGCTGCGGGAGGACAGCTGAGGGGCGGGGCTTCCTCCCGGTGCGGGAGAACATTCAGAGCTAGATGGAGTTGGTGGCTGCACAGTGCATGCACGAAATACCGCCACGCTGCACACCGGGCAGCCAGGCTAGCTGCGTTTCTGACTGGCACTGTCTCCGTCCCTTTAGTTCTACTACGGGGTGTGTGAGCCCTACAGTGGCCAGCGCATGTGCGGGCCTCTACAAGGTGGGGGTGACCATGCAAGCTCTCTCCACGTCCCGCCAGGACTGGGGCAGCGTGCATTGCCCCACATGGTTTTCAGGCTGCTACGTCCGGGCCTCGGACTGCACAGTGAGCATGTGGGAGCAGCACCTTAACCTCCACGCCACCTGCTGGCCCACACCCTGAGCTGAAAGTCCACCCAGACATGCAGCCCTGGGCTCTGAGCTCTGCACCGCCTCAGGGATGGCTCGGCTCCACCCCGTCCCCGGCTCGCCCTTGCATCACCTTGGGGACAGGCAGGCTCCACCCTCCCAGGCCTGCCCTCTAGCCGCCTGTCACCTGCGCTGGCCCCTTCGCGAGGCCCGCTGCCTCCTGTCTCCCTGGCACCCTCTCGAGGATACGGCTCCCCTAAAACTCCATGGCAGGACAGCTCTGACGCGGGTGGCCAGCCAGCTCTGAATGTCCAGTCGACAGTATCAGGCTGAATCCGTCCCAAACTGCACGGGTCATGCGTGTGGCAAAGTCGATTTTTGTTCCTTGCTTTCCTTGGGAGATTACATTTGACTGTGTGTCCCGTATGTCTGCCTAACCCATACAGGACACGTGGTCAGGACGAGAGAGCATGAAGCTGTGAACAGAAAAATAAGTGTTTTACGTGTTTACATGGAATTGTCCCGAGACAGAAGTGACAGGGCAGGTGGCAGATCAGAGCGAGGTAGCCTATCAGGAAAGTGGCGACGAGGCCTGTGTGAGCATGCACAGAGTGCGTGTGTGTGCACAGTGTGTACATAGAGTGTGCATAGCGTGTGTGCAGTGTGTGTACACAGTGTATGTATATAGAGTGTGTGCACAGTGTGTGTACACAGTGTGTGCACAGAATGTGTGTGCAGCGTGTGTATATAGAGTGTGTGCACAGAGTATGTGTGCAGTGTGTGGGCAGCGTGTGTACATAGAGTGTGTGTACATAGAGTGTGTGCACAGTGTGTTCATAGAGTGTGCACAGCGTGTGTGCACAGTGTGTATATAGAGTGTGTGCACAGTGTGTGTACATAGTGTGTGCACAGAGTGTGTGCGCAGCATGTGGGCAGCGTGAATACATAGAGTGTGTGCACAGTGTGTGTGTGCAGCGTGTGTGCACAGAGTGTGTACATAGAGTGTGTGCACAGAGTGTGCAGAGTGTGTGTACAGTGTGTGTACATAGAGCGTGTGCACAGCGTGTGTACATGGAGTGTGTGCAGCGTGTGTGCAGTGTGTGAACATAGAGCGTGACGTGTTTACATGGAATTGTCCCGAGACAGAAGTGACAGGGCAGGTGGCAGATCAGAGCGAGGTAGCCTATCAGGAAAGTGGCGACGAGGCCTGTGTGAGCATGCACAGAGTGCGTGTGTGTGCACAGTGTGTACATAGAGTGTGCATAGCGTGTGTGCAGTGTGTGTACACAGTGTATGTATATAGAGTGTGTGCACAGTGTGTGTACACAGTGTGTGCACAGAATGTGTGTGCAGCGTGTGTATATAGAGTGTGTGCACAGAGTATGTGTGCAGTGTGTGGGCAGCGTGTGTACATAGAGTGTGTGTACATAGAGTGTGTGCACAGTGTGTTCATAGAGTGTGCACAGCGTGTGTGCACAGTGTGTATATAGAGTGTGTGCACAGTGTGTGTACATAGTGTGTGCACAGAGTGTGTGCGCAGCATGTGGGCAGCGTGAATACATAGAGTGTGTGCACAGTGTGTGTGTGCAGCGTGTGTGCACAGAGTGTGTACATAGAGTGTGTGCACAGAGTGTGCAGAGTGTGTGTACAGTGTGTGTACATAGAGCGTGTGCACAGCGTGTGTACATGGAGTGTGTGCAGCGTGTGTGCAGTGTGTGAACATAGAGCGTGCGCACAGTGTGTGTATAATGTGTGTACATAGTGTGTGTACATAGAGCGTGCGCACAGTGTGTGTATAATGTGTGTGCACAGTGTGTGTACATAGAATGTGTGCACAGTGTGTGTGCAGTGTATGGTGTGTGTGCACAGTGTGTGTACATAGTGTGTGTGCACAGCATGTGTATGTGAAGCGTGTGTGCATAGTGTGTGCAGTGTATTTGTGTGTGTGCACATAGTGTGTGTACACAGTGTGTGTTTGTGTGTGTGCACAGAATATGTGTGTGCAGTGCATGTGCACATAGTGTGTTAAGTGCTGCCTGTGTGTGTGTGTGTGCGTGTGTGCAAACATGCGGGTAAAACAGGCTTCACGAGGTACCAGAGGCTGCTTCTGGGCAAAAGAGGATGAACTCACCCATGGAGAGGCCTCCATCCACGCCCTCAGTCAGCGGGAAGGCAGTGCAGAGCACACACAGGTCTCCCTAGTTGGGTGACCTGGAGCCAGGATGCCCGCTGGCTGTGGACAGGCACCTTGAGGCAGAGCCAGCCACAGAATCAGGACTGCGGGTGGTCTGTCACGTGGCACCAACTGGGCACTGGCTAGGCACTGGCTACCGAGACAGCAGCCAGGAGAAGTGGGGGGGGCTGGGCACTGAGCTGTGCCAGGCAGGTGTGCCCATGCCCAGGCTGGCTGGGGAGGCTGGCGCAGGGGTCGTGGCATGGGTCCGTTGAGGGTGCTTCTGTCCGTCCCTCTCTCTCATAAAGTCAGCATTGATAACTGATATATTTGGATATAGATAGATGCGTTTTATTGTAATGGCTACACCAACGCAAGTGTACCCCCCTCCAGTTCTGGAGGACAGAAGTACAGGACCCAGTGAGGCAAGCCTGCTCCCAGAAGCTCTGGGGGTCCCCCGGCCCCACCCAAGTCCTGGCTGGCCGCAGGTGCGGCACCCCTGGGCTTCAGCTGCATCCCTCCCGGTGTGCCTGTCTTTTCCGATCTTCCCTGTGTCCCTGTGTCCTCATGTCAGGACATGTCACTGGGCCAGGGCCTCATAGCCCAGCACCACCTGTCCACCATGCTGCAAAGGCCCCCCAGACTGTCAGGCTGACTCTGGGAAGGCACAGCTCACCCAGGCAGGCAGCAGCAGCCCAGGGCGTGACGGTACATTCTCGCGCTCTGAGCAGCGACAGCAGCGGTCCTGGGCCGGGCCTCGCCTGGAGCAGGCAGGAAGCCCAGGCTGTGAGCAGAACCACCCAGAGTCTGCAAAGACCCGAGCGCAGTGCCAACCCGGGCCGAGCCGCACACCCCCTCCCCGCCTCATCCTCTCCGCCCAGGGTCACCATGGGCCTTGGCAGGCTCTGCTGTTAGGGCGGTGTCCCTGAGGGCTGGCCCATCTGCCAGCATGCTAGGGCCAGACCGTGCCGGCGTGGGCCTGTGGGCCGTACTCTGCCACCACACTGGCTCCTGAGCTCTGGCTCTGGTCCCGGGTTCTCCCTGAGCAAGCTGCCCCAGCCTCAGTTTCCCCTCCTGTGAACATGTGCAGACCTACCACCCACCCTTGGCCCCACAGGCCTGGGAGAGGCTTCTGGAGCGGGTCCCTGCTCTCACTGCCTGGAGACACGGCTCCCAGGGCAGGGCTGGATGGATTGTTCAGACTGCAGCCGCCAGGCAGCGCTCTGAGGGCTTCATCTCCCACACGGACACCGTGGCCCGCTCTCCCTCCCGAGCTGCCCCAGTCCAGCCACCATCGCCAGGGCCCCCGTGGCTGCAGGGCCCTCCTTGTCTCTCCAGAACCTCCTCTCCCAGCCCTGCGTCCAGGTGGCTGCTGGAAAGAGCCTTCTGACACCCTAGCCCTAAACCCCACGCCCACTGCTCAAAACCACGGGAGGCCCACGCTGACCACAGCCCACAGACCTCAGCCCTCTCCTGCCCACAGGCTACGGCACGCGTGTGCAAACATGCCATGCCTCCTGCCCAGGGTGGGAGCCAAGGGCGCTGGACTCCCACGTGGCCGACCATGGTTCAAGTCCTGGACCTGGCAGCTTGCTTTCTCTCTCTCTCTCTCACTCTGTCTCTCTCTGGTCAAATGAAAATAAATAAATAATAAAGTTAAATAAGATAATTCTTAAAAAAGAATTTTAAAAACACCTGGCACCCAAAGTCTCAAGGGTTCTGCACCCCCCAAGCCGCACAGCACGACCAGCGGCCAGACGTGGTCTGCCACTCGTGGGCTGGGGAGGGAAGGAAACCCAGCGTCATCCACAGCGTCCGC